CGAGTTTATTCGAATTTTTATCCTTGATTTGAATTTAACTGAAAGTTTTATTTTTGTTGACAAGTTTAAAGAAAATGTGTATAAAGATCTTGCCTCTCATCTAGCTTTTTGTTTTTTATCTAAGTGTATTTTATCTAAGTGTATACTTCATGATCTTTTAATTGTTCGCGTCGATTTTTGGATGTATACTCCGTGTTTTATAATTACATGTTATCATCCACATGGAAACTATTTTATTTTATCTGTTTCGGACAATTCAAGAGAAATAATCTGTTAGTTTGATTTGTCTTTAAAAATCATTTTTACCTACATTTTCCGGACATCAAGGTAGAAGTGTACTTTTTGAAATTTTGGCATGGATGATTGATTGGTTGATTTTTTAATACTAATATTAAGCGCGTTTCATATTTTATTTTTCGCCACTGCTTCTTAAGAATGATAAGTTTTACGACTTATTTATAATTTTTTGTGATTGAAGAAAACTTTAAGAGGGTTTGCGTAAATTTGTGTATTATTTATTGTTTTATACTAATAAAATTGCTTATTACTCGATTTTATTCTTTTTGATTAGAAAATATAAGATTAAGTTCTCAAGTGATACAATTTCGACAATTCTCTTCTATGTATTGTGTTCTAAATAATAAAAATTGCAGCAAGAAGAAACTTTGACAGTTGTATCTTACATAAATGTCGCTATTGTCGTCGCGTTTTGTCTATGTGTGTTCGTTGGTAAATTGCGAAATGCTCTCCAAACAACTGCATAGAATCTTTATTTTATTGCTTTATACAACACTATAATTTATAGAAAAAGTTCAGTTTGAAAAAAATGGTTTTAGTTCACAGAAAATAAAAATTCCGCGGAATAAACGTTTCGTAGGATATTGTAGGTTTCACTTATAGTATCTTAGTTGTCATTTTTCAATCAGGAAATTGCGCGTCGATACATTGTGCTGTGCAAAACCAGTGGTATGAAAAACAATTCTTTCGCGTTTCAAATAATTTAATACTTGATATATATTAAATATATTATATAAACAAAAAACTTGGTTTTGTTATAAAAATAAAATATCGCTAAACATGTTTGTCTGTAACTTTTTTAGTGTTAGTCTCGTTCAATGTTTGCAACTTGACATTGCTGTTTTTACTTTTTGACAATTTTGCAATCTATCATTGAATTTGACATTCATTGAAGAAAACCTGAACCAGATCGAAACATCTGATTATAGTAATTATTTTATGATTGTGTAGTAGTTTATATATATATATATATTTTAAAAAAACCAACAATCAATGCATTAATATCTAATATATTGCTCGTGTTTTAGTCATTTACAATTGTTTGAATTTTCAACGAGTATTATCAAATTATTAAAAACAAATTATTAAAAATATGCCACATTCTTCATTTTGTGCGTTTGAAAAATGTATATTTTATTTACATTAGTAAAAAACTAGTAAAAAAATAATATAAATTTATTTACTTAATTTCTTAAATAAATTTATATTTATTGTGTCAAATCAATATTTCAAAATTGTTTAAAAATTAATTCATCTACTAATAATCGAACATCATCAAGTTAGTTTGCTAAACGTTGGTTGACACCTAATCTTGCACTATTTGTCTGAGTACAAACAATTTTATTATTATAGAATTATACTTTTACTTTATTCATATCTCTCTTAACCCCAATAGCCAAATGATAGCAGTATGCCAGCAGTATGCACGCAGGTTTAATCAGCACTTTGCAGCAGATTCCACTCAGCTGTGTCATTATAGTGAGTGAATTATGTATGCACGATATGTAAGGAAAACAATATAACAAAACTATAGAAATAAATGAAGAATAAAATGACGTTATGCTTCAAATTTGCTACGTTCTTTTAGCATGTTCTATTTGAATGATGCAATAATATTTGCATTACGGCATGACACATTTATATTCTTTTTTTTCTGCTTTTTTGTCGACACTAGTTGAAATAATAGATTATGTTTGAAAATGCTGGGTACACATTTAACTGGCATAATGTATTATTGCAGACTTTGCAAAATATGTTCATTCAGTCTTATCAGGTTATCTAGGTAATCTAACATAAAAAAATTATTTGTTGTTGATTCTGTGTTTTTTTATCCTTATTAATATTTTCTGCTCTTTTATTCTTATTGAATTATTTGTATTGTTGAGATTCGAGTACCCTTTATGGCGGATCAGACAATCTTTTTATAGACATTAAAGATTATTCTGGAAGATCTTAAGACAAGAGTTCCCTAGGCGGTGCTCAAACCCATTGTCTTCTATATTACATGGCGCAAATACGCCAGGAAAACTTTTCAACCTCGCTCGCGCCATAATATGTACTCTCGTTTGCCGAACTTTTCCTCGTATCTACTGAAGTGTTTCGCGTTCCGGCTCGCTGTTCTTCTGAAAACAATCCCGGGGGTTGATTGCAAAGCTTGTTAAAGCAAAAATTATCCTGTAAGTTATACAAGTCTACGAAAAAATAGGAAGTAAAAGTATATATACACTCTTGATAATATCAGAGATACGCAAGGTAATTTTACATATATTATATGTACTGGATTAACTAGTGTAATAACTTTTGATAATTAATTAATAGTAATTAATTAATGGTATTTTTAATTGATAACATTTATATTACGATGTTAACACTTGTTACGTTCAATCAAGTAGTTATATATATTTCAATATGATTCTCAAAACGACAATAAAAAATTTGTTCAATAAACGTTTGACTGTCTCTGATGGAAAAAAACTTATTTTAGAGATTATATATCACAACATATTGCTTTAGATATTTGATGCTTTTGCGGTGTGTATTAACATTCGAAGATGTTTTTCAGGTTTGAACCGCGTTAGTGTTCTTTTTATACCGACGTTTTGTGAACATTTCAGCTCACTTCATCAGAGTTTCAAGAGCAACCTGATACAGATACCTGATATAAAAATAACACTAACGCGGTTCCAACCTAAAAAAACATCTTCAAATATTGTTTTAGAATTTAACTATTCCAAACTTTTACGAATTTTATCACAATTAAAAAATAAATAAATTTTTTGTATGTCAAACGTTTTCATAAATTGTACAATATAAATTGAAATATTTTTATAAAAGTTAATTCTTACTATTATATCGTTATATAAAATCAACATGTAAAATTTAATAAGTCACGTTTTGGTAAAACTCGTTTTCGTTTGAGAGAAAGCAAAACAATTAACTAGAATTAATAGAGTTTCATAATAATACATGTCACATTTCGAAAGCTCTTGTGTTTTTGTTTTCTCAAAACTTTTCAAGCTGGTAAAGCACATCTCTTTTTTTATCGAATTTAATCTTTCGCGGACAGATATGGGTCTCCCAGACCCACTCAAAAATTGCGCATTGGTATCTCTAGTAAAAATTAATTTTTTTTTTAACGCTTATATCTTCGAAACTACTAGAGAAACTATTAGATTTTTTCCAATGTTTTTTTTTTTTTATTGCGCAGAATTGTTCAAACTTTTGATTTAAAAGACAAAATGGAAAAAAATATTGATTTTTTGCGGAGATATTCGATTTTAAAGTCGCGTGAGTCTCACAGATCCAGTCTGTTCAACTAGTCATTTTTTAAGTTTGTCTGCAAAAGATTAATAAAATAAATAAATATAATTAATAAAATAAAAATAAATACTTGAAAATACGTAATACATTTATGTATATTTGATACTTGAAAAAGTATCACGTAACAATCAAGCGTATTCCACATCCGAAAGTTTTAAGGAAATCGAAAGAAGCAAACACATGTAGAGAGGTTCGCTCTGATCAACATTCTCGTACCGTATCGAACTAAAACGAGGTACCGAGACCGTATTTCTTGCCGTTGCATTTCGGTGGTCTTTTTCAGCGCGCAAAACTGACACACACCTTTGTTCAAGAGAGTGATTTAATACTGCCAGCGGTGCGCCCAAAAAAGCATCTAGATTTACCGTGTATGCAGTAAACAATGAGATGACTGTGGTTTGAACGCGGCTGTAGAAACCGGCGTGGACCTTCAGAATATAAAACGCGATGCGATGGAGTATAACCGCTATGCTTCATATATAACAAAAATTATTTCGATCTTGTTACTGCAACAGGTTGTCGCCATTGTGCTCTGTACGATGTGCATGTATAAGTATGTATAGATTTTTTATATTGATCGCTGTTACAATTCAAATCCGTAGCTTAGTTACTTGCAAAAAATATTTAGTGTAAGAAACAATCGATATGTGTGCGTTATTATTATTATTATTCTCATACTTTTAGAAGTTTAAAATTTTACAATGTCGGACAAGAAAAAAAATGTAAACAATGTTGCTATTATATTTCGTGAAATACTTTCAAATAAAAAGTGGAATTTCTACATTGAGTTTCAAATTATATTTTCCTATATTTTTATGCTTTTTTTTATCCAATCCAAACGTGGAGCGTTTGGGAAAAAACCTTCACAAAAAGTTGATCAAAATCTAGAGATTTTTCATTAAATCAACTCGTTTTTAAAACGATTGTATTTTTGTTTTAAATAGAATATTTATACAATAGCTTTTAGAAAGATTATCTTATTAAAGTATATCGACACGTTCCAATCTCGATTAAGTTCACCCGATTCTAAAACGATCATAATAATTGCGACTTTATCCACGGCAAATCTCTTCGCAATCATCGAAATCAGCTAGAATTTGTCGGATCACGTCGCGTTCGAAGACCTCTCGAGAAACCTCTCGCCGATCTATCGTGCGTGTCACTCGAGGAATTTTATTCTTCTCGCGCTGTCTTTTTTCTCTTACACAGCGAGAACCAAACTAATGCTCGATGTTCGCATAAGAAGGGATCGGATGTCTTAAAGAAAAACGATCCTCTCGAAGGCGGAGTTCGATCTCACGTCTACTTGCGCACGTTTGCGCATGCATTCGCGCAGATGTATGCGTATGTCTCTATATGTACATATGTGAGACACTACTTACAGGGACGGCATTTGTAGGTGACCAAGATGTTTTCCTTCTGCCCGGGACAAGGATCGCTCCGGAAGGTGTTCAGACTTGTGTTGAATTTGCACTGACGCTTTTTCTGACAGACGCCGACTACCATCTGCAACAGTGTATGCTAAAACTTCATTCAGTATGTCCGTTCATTTTGCGATGAGAATCGATAAGCAATAACCGATAAGTAAAAACCGATAGTTCAATATCTTTCCAATTTGAAAAATTGAATTGCTGAATGTGACTATTAACAATAATAACTGCAGGATTTGAAGCGCGTCGGATTTTATGCCGCATAGGTCAGAAAAAAATAGACAGAGTGAGAATAATTTACGTATAACCACTCTGTTACGCGCCGTTACATGAGTACGTATATTGTGTTGTGATATCAGCTCTTTATTGTTACTATTAACGAAATTATCGTCAGTTTAATCGATTCGTCAACGTGATAAGTAGTGTAACTATATATATATATATGTTACAGATATGTAAAATAATCGGTACTTCAAGGTTCATAAAACGTTTAGCGGTTATTGTGCGATATATAAGTGTAGAAAGATAATAAAGAATAAAATATAACAAATAACAACCACGTAGTTCTTTATTCAGCTAGCTGTCTTATACAAGATGTATAAAAAGTATTAGTACCGCGAAAAATCTCGAAAACTAGGCATTTTACAAAAAAGTGTTTCAGATAAAAGTTGTAGGGTTTTAAAGGATCTATTTACTGTTCTTATCAGTTTGATCTTGAATGACATTGCCAAAGTCAGGACAAGGTCATCTTGAATTTTTTAAATGGAACATCCTATTTTTTATTGCAGATTTTTATAGCTTACTTCAAGAGCTTTCCAAAACACTATAATAAAGTTTATTTTCATTAGGTACTTTTTGACTTATGAAAGTTGAATATTAGAGTATCGCCGGTATTAGCATTATCTATTGACGTTATCATTCATTTCGAACGTTGCTTTATCCAAAAAACACTATGTTGAATAGAAAGTTAGGTTCTTTGTCAATCATTCTTTGTATCATGAGCTCACAAAATTCGTTTCAATCGAAATTATCTCCTAGAAAACGTACCGGCAGTACTCTAATATTCAATCTTCATAACTCAAAAAGTACTTAATGAAAATACACTTTATTATAGTGTTTTATAGAAAGCTCTTCAATTAAGCTATAAGAATCTACAATAAAAAATAGGAAGTTTCATTTTAAAAAATCGATGTGATCTTGATCTGATCTTGGTGGCACCATCCAAGGTCACAATCAGTAAATAGATCCTTTTAAACTCTACAACTTTTATCTAAAACACTTTTTCGTAAAATGCCTAGTTTTCGAGATTTCTCGCGGTACCGATATTTTTTATACACTCTGTATGTTCTACCGGTTTGGGATATTTGGCAATTTTACCGTGTGGAATATACCATCATGGACCTATAATAGACAGCGCGTTTTGCTGCGGAGTTGTAAGCCAACAGTAAGAGCAAAAAAGAAGATAGTGTCTACTACCACGGGTACACATCAATATGGTCCCAAAAGATGTCAACTTAGACACAATCAAAAAGCAGTAGTTCCTCGTGCCAAGTCGTTTGGTAATTTACAAATTTTGCATACAATTTTCGATGAAATTGTATCTAAACTAGCATTGTCAATTTTACTAGTGATAAAGCACTTGCACACATCTAGTCTAATTGTAAGTAATAACGTATTATTTCAATTTATTTGATAACAAGTAGCTACCCAGGCAACCAGCTGACGTTATAATGACGTTAATATAAAGTCAGTTTTTGACCAGTTCGACGTTAGTTTATGACGTGATATTAACGTAATGACGACGTGAGTTTGTCTCGTCAAAAATGACGTCATGTTAATGACGTTTACTTACGTCATT